ATGATATATCTTTTTCTATCCTTTCACATGGTCTATTTCTGTCTTTATTTTAAAGTGGATTCTTATAGGCAACATATAGTTCTCTTGCTTTATTCAATCTAACAATCTCTGCCTTTTAATGTAAATAGCTGTAAAGACCATTTACATCTAAAATGATAATAGATATGGCTGAGTTTAAATATATCATCTTGCTTTCTATTTGTCTCATTTGTACTTTGTTCTCTTTACTTCTTCTTCCTCTTTTTCTGCCCTCTTTTTGATTATTTTTAAAAACAGACTTTATTTTTTAGAGCAGTTTTAAGTTTATAGCAAAACTGAGCAAAAGGTACAGAGATTTCTCATATGCCCTCTGCCCCACATAGGTATAGGCTCTCCCATTACCAACATCCCCCCATCAAAGTGGTACAATTGCTACAAATGATATACCTACATTGACATATCATTATCCTTCAAAGTCCATAGTTTACATTAGGGATTACTCTTAGTATTGTACATTCTGTGGCTCTGGACAAATGTATAATGACATGTACCCACCATTAACAGAATCATAAAGAGTAGTTTCACTGCCCTAAAAGTCCTCTGTCCTTTGTATATTAATTCCTCCCTTCCCTTTAACTCCTGGAAATCACTGATCTTTTTACCGTCTCCACAGTTTTGCCTTTTCCAGAATGTCATATGCTTGGAATCATATAGTATGTAACCTTTTCATATTGACTTCTTTTATTTAATAATATGCCTTTAAGCTGCCTCCATGTGTTTTCATGGCTGGATAGCTCATTTCTTCTTAGTGTAAAATAATATTCCATTGTCTGGATGTGCCACAGTTCATTTATCTATTCACCTGCTGAAAGACATCTTGGTTGCTGCCAAGTTTTAGCAATTAAGAAAGCTGCTATAAATATCTCTGTGCAGGTTTCTGTGTGAACCTAAGTTTTAACTCCTTTGGATAAACACCAAGGAGCATAATTATTGGATCACATGGTAAAAAGTATGTTTAGTTTTTTTAAGAAACTACCAAACTGCCTTCCAAAGTAGTTGTATCATCTTGCATTCCCACCAGCAATGAATGAGAGTTCCTATTGTTCCACATCCTTGTCACTATTTGGTGTTATTAGTGTTCTGGATTTTGGCCATCGTAATAGGTATGTAGGGATATCTCATTGTTTTAATTTGCATTTCCCTGATGACATATGATGTGGAGCATCTTTTCATGTGCTTATTTGCCATCTTGTGTCTTCTTTGGTGAGGTGTCTGTTAAGGTTTTTGGCCCGTTTTAAATTTTTTTTTGTGAGTTTTAAAAGTTCTTTGTATATTTTGGATAACAGTCTTTTACCCATATGTGTCTTTTGCAATTATTTTTTTCCCAGTCTGTGGCTTGTCTTCTCATTCTCTGAAGGGCTCAATATTTTTTATGACTCCATTTTATCTCCTTTCTTGGCTCAATAGCTGCAACTCCTTGTTGTATTATTTTGATGGTTCCTTTCATCTTTAACTTAACAGTCTACCTTCAAGTAATATTATACCACTCCACATACAGTGTAAGTCCTTACAACAGTATATTTCCATTTTTCTCCTCCTGGTTTTTGTGCTGTTGTCATACAGTTTACTTCACCATAGGTTATAAACCTCACAATACATTATTGCTATTTTTGTTTTTAAAAGTTAATTATGTTTTTGGGGCACCTGGGTGGCTGTCGTTAAGTGTCCCCAGGGTCCTGGGATTGAGCCCCACATTGGGCTCCCTGCTCAGCAGGAAGCCTGCTTCTTCCTCTCCCACTCCTCCTGCTTATGTTCCCTCTCTCGCTGTCTCTCTCTTTCTGTCAAATAAACTCTTTAAAAAAAAAAGTTAATTATGTTTTAAAGAGATTAAAGTAATAAGAAAAAAAGTCTTTATATTTATCCATGTAGTCACCATTTTCAGTACCCTTCATTTCTTTGTGTAGATTCAGGTTTCCAGCTGGTATCACTTCTCTTCTACTTGAAGGACTTCCTTTACATTTCTCATCTGATAATGAATTCTTTCAACTCTTATATGTCAGAAAAAGTCCTTATTTCATCTTTTTTTTTTTAAAGATATTTTTGTTAGGTAAAGAATCCTAGGTTGAAGGCTTTTTCTTCAGTACTATAAAGATGTTGCTCCATTTTCTTCTAGCTTATACTGTTTCTGATGAGAAATTTTCTGTAATCCTTATCTCTGTTTCCTTGTAAATAAGCTTTCCCCACCTGTTTGCTTTTAAGATTTTCTCTTTACCACTGGTTTTAACCAATTTAATTAAGATGTGTCTTGGTTTAGTTTTGTTTCTTGGGCTTGGTGTTTCTTAAGATTCTTAGATCTGTTGGATTTATAGATTCCATCAAATTTGGAAAAATTTCGGGCGCCTGGGTGGCTCAGTTGGTTAAGCGACTGCCTTCGGCTCAGGTCATGATCCTGGAGTCCCGGGATTGAGTCCCGCATCGGGCTCCCCGCTCAGTGGAGAGTCTGCTTCTCCCTCTGACCCTCTTCCCTCTCGTGCTCTCTATCTCTCATTCTCTCTCTCTCTCTCAAATAAATAAATAAAATCTTAAAAAAAAAAAAACAAATTTGGAAAAATTTCAGCCATTATTCCCTCAGATATATTTTCTGCCTCCATTTCTTCAGATTCCCCAATTACACATATATTTAGGCTACCTGAAGCTGTGAAGCTCACAGATGTTCTGTGTTTTATTATTATTTGTAAAGAAATCTCACCCTTTTAATTCACTAATTAATTTATTTTTGAGGGAGAGCATGCACGTGTATGAGCGGTGGGGTGAGTGGAGTGGGGAGAGGTGGGAGGGAGAAGGAATTTTTTTTTTAGCAGATGTATTTTATGTTATTTGTTTATTTTTATTATGTTTAGTTAGCTAACATATAGTACATCATTAGTTTATGATGGAGAGAATCTTAACCAGACTCGATGCTGAGCATGGAGCCCAATGCAGGGCTCAATCTCATGACCCTGACATCACCACCTGAGTCAAGATCAAGAGTCAGATGCTTAACTGAATGAGCCACCCAGGAGCCCCTACTGTTGCCGTTGTTGTTGTTGTTGTTGTTGTTATTATTATTATTATTTTAAATCTGTGTTTCATTTCAGATAGTTTCTACTGCTATGTGTTTCTCCTTAAGTGTCCAATGTGCCATTCATACTATTCAGTGTAATTTCCACCTTGGAGACATCATAAGTTTTCATCTTTACAGTTCATTTTGGGTCTTTTTTATACTTTCCAAACTCTACTTAATATGTTCAGTCTTTCCTCTAGCTTCCTGAACATATGGAATACATTATAATAAGTCTTTTAATGTCTTTGTCTACTAATTCTATCTTCTGTGTCAGTTCTGGATCAGTTTTGATTCAATGATTGATTGATCAACTGACTTGAGTTTTCTCTTCATTGTGGGTTGTATAGTCCTGCTTCTCACCATGGCTGTTAATTCTGATTGGATGCAAGACACTGTGAATATTACCGTGATGCGTGCTGGATATTTCTTTTTGTTTGTTTGTTTCTTTAAATTTTTATTGTTATGTTAATAAGTGCTGGATATTTCTAATAGTCCTATAAATATTCTTGACCTTTGTTCTGTGATGCTATTGAATTACTTGGAAACAATTTGATCCCTCTATGTCTTGCTTCTGCTTTTAAGCTTTGTTAGGCAGGACCAGGGGAGTGTTTATTAGGCAGAGGTTTAATTTTTCTCCATTTCCAAGGCAAGTCCCTTCTTAGTATTCTACATCATGCTCCATAAATTATAAGGCTTTCCTCTCTGGTTGATGGAAATATGCACTATTCCTGGCCCTGTGTAAACTCTGCATATTATTTGCTTTAATCCTTCTAGGAGGTTCTTTACCTGAATAATTTCTTCACAAGAATGAGCTGATTCATTCTCATCTGAATAAGATGCAGATTCCCAGAATTCTCTCTCTTTGGAGCTCTTTCTTTTCTGGTATTCCACCCTGAAAACTTTAGCTGCCTTGGCACCCTGGAACTCCCAGTTTCATCTATTCAACTCAGGGAGAGCACTAGGCTTTGCCTAGATACCTTCTCCTTGTTCAATGGCCTCTGTACTTTCTCTAGGCAGTATGTTAGGGTAATCCTAGGGTTCACTTCACTTCATTTATTTTCCATGTCTCAGGAAAGACTATCCTATTCATTGATGCCCAATGTCTTGAGAACCATTGTTTTATATGTTGTGTCTGGATTTTTGTTATTTCAGTCAGGAGAGTAAATCTAGTTCCTGTCACTCCATCTTGGCCAGAAGCCACTGTATAATAATATCACTCTTGATCTCCTCTATTTTCTCATATTATACTTTAGTTCCACAAAAGCCAGTTCTACTGACTGGAGCAAAGAGAGCCAGAAGAGTGGGCTTTAGGGAACACTATTATCAGCTATACCTGGAATCTGGAGATATATAGAATTTCCCAGCTATGATTCTTTTCACTCATTAAAGGAGTCTGTCACAAAACCAGATGAAGCTGTTTGAGCTCCTTGAGGGTGGAGACCCCAACTAATGCAATTCTATATCTCCAGCATCCAGAAAGGTGAATAAAGTATGGTTTTGATTAGACAAAACTAAACATAAATACTCCACTATATCATCACCACTGTAATGATGGTAACTATGTGCTCAGCACTTTACATACATTATTTTATTCAAACCTCATAACAATCATTTTAGGTATGCATCATTCCAATTTTATTGATAAAGAAACTAAGGCTTAGAAAGATTAAATAGCTTTCACAATACTACACAACTAGTTAGTGGTAGAAATGGAATTTGAGCAACATCTAGCCATGCTCTTGATCTCTGTGTAATACTATATTCTATAAAGTTTTCCTAAACCACAGGCTTCCTTGCTGAAAGCTGACCTCAGATTGTGCAATCTAAAGTACCTGCACCTAACCACCCTGTATTCAGGGTTCCCACACATCAATATGGAAGATTTCCACCAAAGTACTGATTATTACTTTATACTTACCTGTTTCATCTCACATGAGCAGTAGGGAAGAAGTCGGTGCCGGGTGATCTCATGAAATGATTTATGCAGTTTGGTCCCAAACTCTTGAGTGTCAGCTGCCTAAAATGGGTCAGAGATGAAACATGCTAAATTCCAGTACTGGCAACCAAAAGGAAGGTACCCACAGGATATGGGAAGAGGATGAGACAAATAGGAAGGCAAACCACTGACATCCCTCATGTTATGTTAGGAGTTTCCTTAACTCCTACGGACACAGGAGTAGAGAGAAGGCCTGGGATACAAGGCATGAGATAGGTCGTTGTGGCTCCTATGTCTTTCAATTTCTGTTACCTAAGCAAGATCTTTCACACAAGGCCTTTGTTCTCCTATCGCCATAGGAAATACATATCCCAGAGATCTAACTGTTCATAAAGGGGTTATATAGATTGCTTTCCTCTAAAACAAGTTCCAGGAGAGCAGAGGTTCCACTATATTCAACTAAGGCTGATATAAGAACTTCCCCTCAGATAAGGCTTTTAGGGAAGAAAGGAAGAAGATAATAGCATCCATAAGGAATGGGTAATAACCTCTACATTTTACTGTAGAATTGCAGGATATTAGAGTTAAAGGGGACAAGAGTAATCACCTGACACAACACACTAATTTTATAGATGAGAAAACTAAAATCCAAAAAGAAGAAGTGGCCCACCTAAGCTCTCATGGCTTATTAATACAAAAGTTAGGGCTGACCTTAGGATTGCCAATGTAGCATTCTTCTCATTACCCTGTGCTATCCACATGACCCAGAAAGCTGAAGCTGTAGGATGCACTAGATTATAAAGGTGTTATACTCTTAGATGTAGTAAATCCACTTATAGAAATTTATTCTAGGAAATAATTCAGAAGAAGCAAGATATCACACAGAGGTATTAACTGAAATACTATCTACATTGGCAAAAAGAATATAAGCAACTTAAATGCCTCTCATTAAGGGAATGGTTTATTAAATTAGATCAAACCAATGGAGTGGAACTAGGTAACTGATACAAATTTTAAAACACCTGAAATGGGGAAATGTCAAATTATATATGAACATAGAATTCTTCAGTTACAACTATACAATATAACTTGAGAAAATATGTAAAAACTTTTAAAAACAGTGATAAATATTAGCTATTATTTTAAATTTTGAATGTATTATACTATTCTTTCCAAGAAAAAAGTACAAAAAAATAAAGCAACAGACATGGAATGAATGGGCCACCCCACTGATAATACCAATTGATCAGTACACATTCCTAAAAGGAAAGAAACTAACATTTATTGAGAACCTACCATGTGCTATGCATGTTCACACTTAGCCCTCACCCTCGTAATAACCCTCTGACATACTATTATTTTTTTATTTTTTCCAATTTATAGATGAAGCTCAGAAAAATTAAGTACAGGCCTTAGCCCACACAGCCAGTAAGTAAATGAGCCAAGAACTGAACTCAGGCCTCTGATTTCAATTGTTACACTATTCCATACTGCCAAATATGTGTAATACTTAAGGCTACTCAGTTATTTCCAATGTTTTCTGTCACCCTGAGGTAACAAAACATTCTTCAATAAGGAACTGGGAATCCCTGTCTAGTCTTAGCTCTAACTGTAACTAGCTATGTGACCTAAAGCAAGTAGAAATTTCAGATAACTTATTTTCTCATTTATAAAATAGTACACATATAACTATCCATTCAATAAATATTTCTTAAAACACCACAGGCCTGGTACTATGTAGGACCACAGTAGGATAAAATGAAATAATGTTTCTAAAAGCTCTGTACATAATACTACGTTAGGTAGTAGAACATCGTTAAAACCCTGGCACTTTTAAGCAGCCGTAATCTCCTACTAACTTGAAGGGCACGGAGACAGATCTTTCGGAAGCTACTGCTGGTGCTTCCAGTCACGATACTCATGATGGAATTCACAGCCACTGAGAGTGAGACCTGCAATTTCTGATGATCCTAAGGAACATAATAAGGAGAGATGGCAGTTTATAATAATCCCAAGCTGCTGGTTCAGAGAATCCCAAAGGAATCAAAGATTTCAGTAACAGCAGGATTTCAACAACTCTTCCCCCTCCATAAACAATACTTACTGAGATCATGCCATATAAAGGACACTTAGGGATTGAAAAATGTTCTCCTCTTTTACAGAGATGATTTACTGACACAGACACATTCAGAAAAGATAAGCCACGAGACACTAGGCAATAAAATAGATGCGCTTACTTTTTTAAAGATTTTATTTGTTTATTTGACAGAGAGAGAGCGAGAGCAGGAACACAAGCAGGGGGAGTGGGAGAGGGAGAAGCAGGCTTCCCGCTGAGCAGGGAGCCCGATGTGAGGCTCGATCCCAGGACCCTGGGATCATGACCTGAGCCGAAGGCAGACGCTTAATGACTGAGCCACCCAGGCACCCAAGATGTGCTTTCTATTTAAAAAAAAAAAAAGCTTTAAACTTTGCTCTCTTAGTGTGGTTTTTAGGCACCCAAGATGTGCTTTCTATTTAAAAAAAAAAAAAGCTTTAAACTTTGCTCTTAGTGTGGTTTTTTTCCCTGAAAAGGGGGCTATATGAAGTTAAGAAATATGTTACCAAAAGTATAAAGGATAGAGGAAATCAGAAAGTCAGATAAAAAGAGAAAGTGATGGGGCGCCTGGGTGGCTCAGTTGGTTAAGCCTCTGCCTTCAGCTCAGGTCATGATCCTGGAGCCCCTGGATCAGGCTCCCTGCTCAGCGGGAGTCTGCTTCTCCCTCTCCCCTGCTCCCCGTCCCCCACCCGGCTCATGCTCGCTTGCTCTCTCTTGCTCACTCTCTCAAATAAATAAAAATCTTTAAAAGAGAGAGAGAGAGAAAGTGATGTTATAAAGCTTTAGAAATGAGGGAAGAATGTAAGATTTAGTGAAGCAGTAGCTCCAGAAGTATGTGTGGAAAGAGAAGACAGATAAGGAAAAGGCTCATTATTAGTCATTTTTCTCTATTATTTTGTCCCTATTTACTCAAATTCACCTATTAGGAGGTAAGACTATGCAAGCTGGTTAGAGTGACATATCCTAAGTGAAAATTTGAGTTCCTAGGTTAGAGGCAATGTAAGGATCAGCCAAGGTGACAAAAGAGGAAGAGGCATTAAGGGAAGAAGGGCCCTCAGGCTCTGTCATATCCTCTAGTTCTTTTTCTTAGAGTAGGAGACAAGGACTTATGAATTTCTTATTACCTTGGTAGCCTGGTGATGCTGTTCCAAGGCCTGGTCCACGGCAACCTGGACAGAATCTTGCACTACGCTGTGGCTCTCCGTGAGGATGGCACTGAGATGAGTGGTAAGCAAGGTGTGGACTCCTAAAGGGAGGGAAAATATTGGTAACCTTGAGTGAGAATGGCCACTTCAAGACTGCTGTTATGCACTCTGAGTCAGGAATGAGAAAGAGGCTTTTTGGAAGAAGAGGCCACTTTTGCCGATCCAAAAATAATTACTTTTTTAGACCAAAAAACCCAGCAACTTAAAAACTCACCCAATTTCACTTACAAACGAAAGAGACTTCAAAAATTAAATGTGAAGGTTGACATTATTTTTGAAGAAACAAGTGAGGGATCCTGTTTAATTCATATCAGAAACAGAAATATATACCACATACTATAAACAATGATACTGGTGACTCCCAATGGATAGGAGGAGGAGGAAGAGAAAAAGGAAAGGCCTGTTGGAGAGTGTCTACCCTACACCCTTCCTGTGTGAGCATCACTGTTGTGGTGAGCCACTGTTACTGTCAGGGTCTCAATCCTTTCACATATGGCGTGATACAGAAAAAGTTAACACTCACAACGATGACTCTGAGACTGCTGGTATAAGGGTCCTTTTAAATGGGGGCTATTTCTGATAAAGTAACCATAGGCACTACTGCTCAGAAGAAAAGCTAACAGGTAAGAGTGATAGGCAAAATATGTCAGCCACAATAGGCTAGCATTGATGACCTGGAGACAACAGACACGGGAAGACAAATTCACTTTACACTTGAGAAAATACTCCTTAATTAACCTTTCCTTTTTCAGTGTTTTTCTATTCTTCCCTGAATAGTCTGTTCAAAGGCACTATGGTGAAGCAGTCTACAGCTGGCTGGCTTGTCTCAGGACTGCATTAAAAATGCAAACCAGAAGGTACATTTTCTACCACAAGGCGCCATGATGCTTTCCCAGAAAGGAAGGTAAAATGTGGTCTGCTCAAAAGGGGTCTGAAATTGGAATCTGGAGAACACAGATTCTAGAGTGAATTCTACCACTAACTTGTGGTGACCAAGTCCCTTCACTTTTCTCACTTCAAAACTAAAATTGGCTTTATACCACCTGCTCTCACAGGCATGTTGTGCAGATACACTGGGATAATACATATGAAGTGTTTTGAAATGTACACTGCAATATTCAAAGGGAAAATATCGCTATTGCTATGACGAAATCGTATGGGTTACTGTTTTCTATTGTTCGGTGCTAAGAATAGCCTCAAGAAATCAGTTAGGCCCCTTTTGAAAGCAGACATTTAATTAAAAAGCTACAAGTTTGTTCCCCAAAACTGCTGATACTACCAGATGCCTTTAACGTTGTAGCAAAATAATGAGTTAATCATAGAAAAGTTACCATGACAAGGTGGGCAGGAGGCCAGTTAAGTGATTTTTTTAAGACACATGGAAACAGACTGTAGTTCTGCACAATCTGTTTCCTAAAAGTAGCTCTAGAAAAAGCTTTCAAGGATATGAGAAAGAATAAGGGAAAAAGAAGATAAAATTACTGTATCTCTATCCATTTATCTATATCTACCTACCTTCACCATATATCCTTTTCCAAAGGCTAGTCCTAAACTACCAGATGTGTAAGGAAATTTAAAAAGATACGTAGTATGGGGGGCTCCTGGGTGGCTCAGTCAGTTGAGCGGCCAGCTTTTGATTTCGGCTCAGGTCATGATCTCGGACTCCTGGATCAAGCCCAGCATCATCATCATTGGCTCCATGCTCAGCGGGGAGTCTGTTTCAGGAAATTCTCTCTCTGTCCCTCCCCACTCTCTCTCAAATCTTTTTTTTTAAAAAAGAAACTTAGTATGTTTACTAATGCAATGATGAATTTCTATTGAATCCAATATCGAATGTCACTACCTGAGATGCTACAGGCCTTCAGAGTCAAGTTAACAGAAATGTATAAACTATCACATTACTACAAGAATGACAGGAAACACTGGTTTTTGAGGAATCAGTTCTTCAGGTGTGTTCAATAGGATTCAGAAAATGGTATGAGACTTTATGTCATCCTAGGGAAGACTGAATGTGGTAATCCCTCTAGCACACCTCAAACAAAACAAAACAAAACAAAAACTGATCCTCCCCCCTCTCATGTGCTCTCTCTCTCATTCTCGCTCTCTCAAATAAATAAATAAAATCTTAAAAAAAAAAACAAAACAAAACCAAAACCAAATAACAACCAACCAAAAAGCCCTGCCAAGACAGTAGATCTTAAGTCTAATGGGTCTTTAGACTTGGAAGGGCCTTTGATAGCACCTAGTCTAACAATCTCAAATTAAATATATGAAAAGGGAAGATCAGATGATTTATGTGACTTGCTTCCCAAAAATCACTGAGGAATTTGGTAGAACTAAAATTAAACCCAGCTGTCTTGATTCTACCCTGAAGTCCTTTCCACTAAGATGCTTTTCTTATCAGCCTCTGTCCATATGAGTGCAGGCCAGGTAACAACCCTAGGCATCCTCACTTTGTCCTCCCTGCTGGAAGCCTCATTAGTGTGGGTCACTTCTATGCTCCCATTCCAGGGCCTTGATGAATGGAACAGTGGAGCACGAGACAACAACAGCTCTTCAAATGAAGAGTTGCAAGCCAGAGCCCAGGAAAGCAGTGTGCTTCTCCCCTAAACAACATATAGATACTGGGAAAAGACAGGAGACGTATAGAAGGCAGGCAGCAGGAAGAATCCCACAGCTGACAATTGTTTGTTCAATAAATAGTTGGCACCAGTAAACATAAGCTCTTCTGATCTGGGAATGTAAGATGTCTCCTTTCTCTTAATGACTCAGGGGGAGCAGGGCCACACCAAACAAGCACTGGAATGGCTGGAGAGTAGAGTCCCAAGAAAAAACACTGGATCACAGAAAACACAGAAACATATCAGGAGCACCAAAAGAGAGGCTTATGAACCTTTCCCCAGACACTTATAAGCTCCACTTCTTGCTATTTCCCTATAAGTTTAGGAGGGCATTGAGAAACACTTAAATTTGGGGCCCCTGGGTGGCTCAGTTGGTTAAGTGTCTGCCTTGGGCCCAGTCCAGATCATGATCCCTGGTTGAGCCCTGGGATCAAGCCCCCTGCTCAGTAGGGAGCTGGCTTCTCCCTCTTCCTCTGCCCCTCCCCCTGCTCACACTCTCTCTCAAATAAATAAATAAAATCTTAAAAAAAAGAAACACTTAAATTTATATCTCAGTGTTTATTGGATTAAACACATATGCCAACTCCCACTCACACTCAGTGGTCTTCAAACTTTACTATATTTAAAAATCACCTGAGTATCTTGTCAAAAATGCAGATTCTTGAGCCATACCATATTTCTACATTATAACAAAACAATGAGTTAATCACTGGCTCAGGAAGCAGCTCATTTTCAAATACTGCAGGTGATTTTGATGCATTTGCTTCGTGGACCACCAGAGAGAACCTTTCTGATAACAGGTTATCACCAATTTGTTAGATAAACTGTAAAGGCCCCCCTTTGTATGCCTGAACAAGGACAGTTTCTCCCTTTCCAGAGGTCTATGTGGCAATCACATAAAGTCATTCATACCAATACACTCCCACACCTCCTTATGTTGAGGTTGAGAGAGATGCTGCATCAAGGCCAAGCAACGCCAGTAATGTTTCTTGATTCCACCTGGAAAAGCGATAACGTGGTGGACAGTTCTCAGGCCTGAGCTTTAAAAACATACTGATATCTGGGGCGCCTCGGTGGCTCAGTTGATTAAGCGACTGCCTTCGGCTCAGGTCATGATCCTGGAGTCCCGGGATCGAGTCCCGCATCGGGCTCCCTGCTTGGAGGGGAGTCTGCTTCTCCCTCTTGACCCTCTTCCCTCTTGTGCTATTTCTCATTCTCTCTCAAATAAATAAATAAAATCTTTAAAAAAAAATACTGATATCTGAATCCTGCCTCAGTCCAAGGAAATCATAATCCCTGGGGGTGAGGTCTCGGCATTTTATAGACGCTCCCCAGGTAATATATCAGCAGCTAAGGTTGAGAACCACTCATCTAAGGTATAGACTCTGTAGAGACCATTATAGGAAGTATCCACTAATTTCTGGCCCACTAAATCTGGGAACGTCATCATTTAAGTGATGTTTCAAGATACATATCTTTTCCATAAAGCATATAATTTAACTTATTTAGGCAAGGTTTCTCATTAAAATTCATTATTCTACAGAAATATATGTAATTCAGATACGTGCATCATAATAACATCTCCCTTTCTTTACTCTCTTAACATTTAAGCACACCCAAACTGGCAGCCCCTATACCTACTCCACAGTTCTGTTTGCTGGACTGGAAATCCGCTGTGAAAATCCACAAAGAGAAAAAGCAGCAGAGTTTGTCCCTGGAAGTCCATATTTTGAGACTGATCTCCCTCACTGGATTCCACCTGATAACTCACATCTGGAAGCACCAAATCTAGAGGACAAGATATTACACAGTATTCTAAGATAAGTAAAGCCCTCAGAATGCTATGTGAATAAAGAACCTATACCTCAAAGAAGGATCTGAGACAGATCTAAATTTGAACACTCCCTTCTCCTCCTGAACCTGTTTTTCTATCCACATGATGGAAGGAAATAGCGACAAAAGGAACATCAAAATAACAACTGGGTGTGCAAAATGCAAAACAAACAGCACTCCTTAGAATTTATTGAGAAACATTTATTGATTCCCCATACAATTTTCTAAGATAGATTATCACTAGTAAGAGGCAGAAGTCAGAGTCAAACCTGAGTAATGAAAATGACAACAGCTAATTTGTATTAAATGCTTACTACATGCCACTTATTGTGTTAAATTCTTCACATGGACTATCTAAACATAGACTTCTCAACCACACTATGGCATAGGACCTATTCTTATATTATTTTACAGATTTAAAAAAAGGCACTAATAGATTAAATACATTGCCCAACGTGAGGCAGTAAGTGGTGGAACTGTTTTAGACAGACTCAAAATCTGTGTTCTTAACCACATTACCATATTATATCTGTATTCCCAGGTAATCTGATGCCCTACAGTCACTTTCTAGCACCTTGATCCTTTAGAATACAATCATGATAGTCCCTAAATTCCACCCAGATCCATACGGAGAAGTACCTCCATGTGGATTCTGGTTATGTCCTTTAGAGTAATGAGGGAGGGAAGGAGATGAGGGGACATTTTCTATATTACTCATTTCCAAAGTAAACTGAACAAGCTCAGGCATCACGAATTGGCAAAAAATGAAGGAAACCAACAAAGCATGAAAATAAAAATTCAAAGAGAAAAGGAGATATGGAAAGCCCTAGAGATTCAAAAATTCTAAAGGCATGACATCCCACCTGTTAAGACCAGGCACTCTTTCTTCACAAAACCATTCACCTCCACAGACCCTGTTCAAAGACACCCTCCTCCTTTCATTGCACCCTCTGTAACAACTACCTACTCAAGAAAAAAAAATCCTTACACTGAGTCTTATTTCCTAGAGAAGATTCTATCATTCCCCCTGAGATACTTCTCCATCCCAGGAGGCTTCAGTCTTCTCATACCAGTCACAGCTCTAGAATGCCTCTTCCCCACTGGTCGCCTTCCTCAGCATCCAGTTTACCAGACTACTTTCTAAATTTCAGAGGATTCTAGCAAACAACAGTCAAGATCAAGACTGTAAACCTCCTACACCCACCCCTGACTCCCTCTCCAAGTGTGCAGTGAGGTGGTGCCTGTGGGGCTCCCTGGGGAGAGGTGGAGACAGGGGAAGGGATGCACTCAGTGTAGACAGTATAGATGGGGGTAGATGGGAGGGCAGAGGGAGTTCTCTTCTATTTTACAAATGAGGAAGACATGAGCCAATTTAAATGCTGATGAAAGATTCCAGTAGAGAGACTGATAAAGGGGAAGGATGTGTGGGTAAAAAAAAAAGATTGGGGCGCCTGGGTGGCTCAGTTGGTTAAGCATCTGCCTTCGGCTCAGGTCATGGTCCCAGGTTCCTGGGATTGAGCCCTGCATCGGGTTTGCTGCTTGGCGGGGAGCCTGCTTCTCCCTCTCCCTCTGCTGCTCCCCTACTTGTTCTTTCTCTCTCTCTATAAGATAAATAAATAAAATCTTAAAAAAAAAAAAGATTGTAAACCTCTTAGATATCACCTCATGGTTGCATATCCCCTTTCCAGTTTTATGTTTTGGTCCAGTTATTAAGCATCCACCTCTCAGTGTGATTCACCCAAAGTTAATGTGGTTATGCTCTACATGAATACTACAGCCAGCTTCCTAGGTTGATTACTAACATGGTTTATACTCCTCCTTTGAATTTATATGGTGTTTTAATTTTTGTAAGTAATTTTATGTGCATTTTCTCATTTCATTAGGAAACATTTCTTTTCCATAATAGTTCAATGATATTACTAACCTTTCTAAAACCCCAGAGTTGACAGATTAAGGTACAACAGAAACCCTCCGAACAAGTCCTTACAAGATGGAGGTCTACTGACTATCTTAAGAGGACCAGGAAGAGAGGAGGCAGTAGAGGAAATGAGAGGAAAACCAGCATTAACATGTAATACCGAAACAGGCTCTAATGCGGCTTTGACTATTGACCTGTTTGCCGCACTTCATGTAGATTCTCAAACTTAGCCAGACCCCCACCAGTGGCCCCCAACCTAAACCATCAGGTCACTGTGTCCTATTTTTTATGTACACCTGCTATTTATATTTCCTTGCATTTCTCTAATATTCTCCAGGCTTCTTTATTCCTGTGCAAAGAGAGGGAGATATACCTCTATCCAAACTGAGACCCAAATTGGGCACCATACACAAGTGGTATTTCTTCCAGTCAATGAAATAAGAGGTATCTTTGAAGACAGTAGTAGTTGGTGGCTCCTGACTTGGCAATATCAGGGGCAGACCTGAAGGTCCATATAGAAATATGTATAGTTGCTAAAGAAAACTACCAAATTTTAGTTTTTTATGACTATGTATTCATTTGCATACAACAAACATAACACTGACCTGGTTCACACTCCCAGAAAAAAACTAGGGTGCTAGATGATTACGTATTAAACCTTTCCACATTGAATATAGGTGTGAGGCACCAGAGATAGATCCACTAGAATTCCTAGAAATTTATTCTGGGTTTAATAAGTGTGTGCTACAGGTATAGTATTGGGGCAATTAGTTTATATATTCATCCTACTCATTCCATCATAGGTTTGAGTGGTACTACAGGCTAAACACCATATTAAGTTCAGAGAATACAAAGATGAATATCCAGATTTAATACCTACCTTTAATTTATCATATATATTAGTACTAGAGATACAGGTAAAAATCAGTAAAACACAGTGTGATACATGCTAGAAGTATATACAAAAATATCTTTCAGTAAGTATTTGAGTATATTCAGATGAAAAAGGAAACTCCTTACCTCCTCTAACCCTATTCTCTAACCAAGACCAAGGCGGCCAGACCTCTGAAATGGTTTCCTTTTCTTGAGTTCACTCCTACCCTCGCCTTCCCTTTCACCTAGGGTTTCTCCACCTTAGCACTACTGGCATTTTGGGCCAGATAATTGTTGTAGGGGCTGTCCTGTGCACTGTAGGATGTTTAGCAGTATCCCTGACCTCTACCCACTAGATGCCAGTAGCACCCTCCCCCTGAGTCATGACAGTCAAAAAATGTCCCCAGACATTGCCAAATGTCCTCTGAGGGCAAAATTATCCAGTTAAGAACCAAATCTTAGGGGCGCCTGGGTGGCTCAGTTGTTAAGCATCTGCCTTCAGCTCAGGTCATGGTCCCAGGGTCCTGGGATGGAGCCCCGCATCGGGCTCCCTGCTCAGCGGGAAACCTGCTTCTCCCTCTCCCTCTCCCCCTGCTTGTGTTCCCTCTCTCGCTGTGTCTATTTAAGATAAATAAAATCTTAAAAACAAAACAAAACAAAACAAAACCTAATATTTAACCCTTTTTGTCCCCTGAACCAAGGCTAAAGAAGCCAGAAATATATTTTCCTTTATCTTTTTTTTTTGTTTTCATCCTCTTTTTAATAGGGTAAATATGAAGCATTAAGTGTGAAGATTAAAATCCTCACCCATAGGCACTGGGACATTATGAAAAGTCACAGCAGAACAAAGGGAGACAGTACCCATAAATGAAGTCTCCATCACAAATCCAAGACATTTACACAGGAGCTAAGGCCAACACATTCACTGTTTAGAGCCAGGGGAGCTTTGAGGTACTGCAAACTCAGTAAGAGTGGAATGTCTCAAAAGTCAAAATGTGTGACTATCTTTTAATTGGGTTGTTGAAACCATTTACATTTAATATAAATACTGCTATGGTTGGGTTTAAATCTACCATCTTGTTACGTGGTTTGCATTTGTTCCTTGTATTTCCCTCTTTCCTATTTTTGGATTCTATTCTGGACTGGGTGTTTTTTGTAACTCCATTTTATCCCCTTTTTTGATTTATTCATAATTCTTTGTTGTAGAAACTTAGGGATTTATAGTACAAACTTTAGGCTTTATAGTATACAACTTTATCACCATCTCCTTTTAAATGATATTATAACAGTTCACACACATAAAGTATAAGAATCCTGCAATAATATACTTCCATTTCTCCCCTCTTGGTCTTTGTGCTATTGTCACTCATTTTACTTCGACATATGTTATAAATCTTATATACTGATGGCATTTTTTTTTTTTTTTGCTTTAAAAGTCAACTCTTGGGCGCCTGGGTGGCTCAGGTGGTTAAGCGACTGCCTTCAGCTCAGGTCATGATCCTAGAGTTCCAGGATCGAGTCCCTCGGCAGGCTCCCTGCTGAGCAGGGAGTCTGCTTCTCCCTCTGACCCTCCCCCCTTCTCATGTGCTCTCTAATAAATAAGTAAAATCTTAAAAAAAAAAAAAAAAAAAAGATTCTCCCTCTCCCTCTGCCCCTCCACGCCCCACTCACGGGCTCTCTTAAAAGAATAAAAATAAAAAATAAAAACATTGCTTCACTTTCTCCTAGATTACAGTTTCCAATGAGAAATCTTAATTCTCATCTTTGTTCCCCAGTATGTTAAAATGTCTTTTTACCTCTAGCCGCTTTTAAGGTTTTTTATTATTGACTTTAACCAATTTGATTATGGTGTGTCTTGATATAATTTTATTCAAGTTTCTTATGTTTAAAGTTTGTTATCTTCTTCCATCTGCAGGTTTATACTTAATAGCAAATTTGGAAATTTGGGGGACATTATTTCCTCAAATATTTTATCTGCCCTCCCTCCCTGCAGGAATCTAATCACATGTCCCTGAATCAGACCACTTGAAGTTATCCCACAGTTCACTGAAGCTTTGTTCACTTTTTTAGTCTTTTTTTGTTTCACTTTGGTTTCTTCTGCCATGTCTTCAAGCTCACTAATCTTTTCCTCTGCAATGTGTACATCTGTCACTAATCTCATCCAGTCTATTTTCATCCTAAAAATTCTAATTTCTATGTCTAGATATTCAATTTGGGTGTTTTTTTAGATCTTTTGTGTCTTTACTTAATATGTTCAATTTTTTCCTCTTATACCTTGAATATATGGGTACAGTTATACCTGTCTTAATGTCCTTGTTTACTAATTATTACTTATGTCATTTCTAAACAGTTCTCATTGACCGATTTTTTTTTTTCTTTCATTATGGGTCCTATATTCCCGCTTGTTTGCATGCCAAGTAATTTTTTATTGGATGCCCAGCGTTGCAAAGTTTATCTAGTCGAAGGCAGGACATTTTGCATTCCTGTAAATGTTCTTGAACTTTTTTTCTGGGACACTATAAAGTTACTTGAGTGTAACAGTTTGAGTCTTCTGAGTCTTAGTTTTAAGCTTTGTTAGGTGGGACCAGGGAAGCTAGGGCTAGGGCTAACTCCTCCACTATATTCAGGCAAACCCTTCTTAGGACTCCAACTGATATTTTATGAAATACAAGGTTTTCTATCCTGCGTGGTAGGAACAGAAACCATTCCTAGCTCTGTGTGTTCCCCAGGAATTCTCCTCTGTCTGGAGCTCTCTCTGTGTATTTATCTCCTCTTTGGTACTCTATAAGTTCTAGCTGCCCAAACCTCCCTAAACTCTGAACTTTGTCTTCTCAACTCAGAGAGATCCACTAGACTCTAGTTGGATACGCCCTCCCCACGAACTTCTCTCTAGGTAGTACAGTGCTGCAACACAGGGTTTATTTGTTTCTCCTCTCTCTACACCTACTGTCCTATACTATCTGTTGTTTATATAATTTGTCCATTTTTTTAAATTGTTCACGGTAGGAGGTTGGATCCAGTCCCTGTTACTTGTTCTTGGCTGGAGACAGAATTTCTTGAAATTGACATAATCTCATGGACTTTGATAGCTTCTTTGCTTTCTGTATCAACATAAGATACCCAGGCTCATCTTGTACATTTTTTTTTAAGATTTTATTTATTTATTTGAGAGAGAGCATGAGCGGGGGTGGGGTGGGGGGAGAAGTGAGGGAGGGGGAAGGTGGAGGGGAAAAGGGGCAGAGAGAAGCTGAATTCCCACTGGGCAGAGAGCCCAATGTAGGACTTGATCCCAGAACCCTGGGATTATGACCTGAGCCAAAGGCAGATGTTTAACTGACTGAGCCACCCAGGCGCCCCTCATCTTCTACTTTAGACCTGGAATCAGTCATTCCTCCTTTTTAGTGAGCAATGACATTTAAAGAACACATTCTGGGTACTAGGAGTGCTCACTGTTCCTATGTTTGTTTGTTTTTTGTTTGTTTAGCAGACAAAGCTAAGAAATATATAATTTCAAAAGTCAGAAAACTTGGGGGTACATATTGGTATCTTCAATTCCACTTTAAGATTACTTAAAAATATTTTTTTATTTCAAAATAAAAATATTTCTTTGAATTTAAACTCCTATATCTTATTCTAAAAATTTTGGTTCCCAACAATGTTAATATAATTACTTGTTTTATAATAAGTATGTATACAATAATTTCAGTATAATACCAATGTTATTACTAAGAATCAAAGACCACTAGGGGCACCTGGGTGGCTCAGTCATTAAGCGTCTGCCTTTGGCTCAGGTCATGATCCCAAGGCCCTGGGATTGAGCCCTGCATTGTGCTCCCTGCTCTGCCAAGAGCCTGCTTCTCCCTCCCCCACCCGCCCCCGCTTGTGTTCCCTCTCTCACTCTGTCTCTATCAAATAAACAAAATCTTTAAAAAAAAAAAAAAAAAGAATCAAGACCACTAAATGAATTTCAAGAGTGCTTTATAGTTCACTTCATCCTTAGAGTATATCCCACCAAGAATGTACACCAAAACACTATGTTCTAAAGTCAGTTGAATTAATTCTTCTTACTGTATGAATTATGACATTAATCTATATAGGTAAGTTCATAATCTTTTATCTTGAGAAATACTTTTACTGGTTATGGAATTCTAGCTTGATTTTTTAGTTTCAGGACATTAATACTATTATACTACTACATCCTGTTGGTATGGGGAAGTCAGCTGTCAATTTGTTTCTCTTTTGAAGAAAATCCATCTTCCTTAGCTGATTTTTCTCCTTGTTTTTGATTTTCTACAGGTATAGATATCTTTTTGTTTATCCTGCTTGATTATTAAGCTCTGAAATCTGTCTTAGTTGCTTCAGCCATTAATTCTTCAAAGACTGTTTCTGCCCCATTTTCTCTCTTCTCCTTTGGGACATGAATTAAATGTACATTAAAATGGTCTCACTGTTTCCTCTCACCTGTTAACCTCTCTTCTGTATTTTCCATACTTTTGTCTCTCTTTGCTTTATTTTACTAAGTTTTTGCTATCCTCACCTTTTACTTCACAAATTCACTTATGCTATATCTAATCGGTTGTTAAACCTACCTAATTTCAATACAGGTCATTGTATTTTTTGGTTCTACAATTTCCGTTTGGTTTTTTTAAAAATTATGTCACATTTTATAGTTCACAGTTCCCTGGCAAGATTTTTAAGCTTGAATTTCAATTTCATAAGCATAGTAAACATAATTTTTTATTTTTAAAATCAATGTCTGATATTACCAACATCTGGAGTCCTACTGGGTGCTTCTGTTGCTCTTGTTTTTGCTAGCTCTTATTCATGTTACCTTGTCCACTCTTTTATCTAGGTGTGGGGGCAGGAGAGTGTGGGTGTGTGTGTGTGTGTGTGTGTGTATGACAGAGAGAGAGGGAAATATGCACATGAGCTGGACATTTTGAGAAAGTATTTGTTAAATAATCTGAAGCACAGATGTGGTTATCTATCTACCTAGAAAGAATTTTTGTTTGCTTCTACAAGACATCTGGGAGAATTAGAAATCTAGAATCATCTTAATCCATTTTGAAAGTTTAAAATTTTCTGGACTTTCCAGGTGACCCAAAAAATATATGAGTTCATGTGAAGGATGGTTTATTTCAGGTTCACCTTACTCCTTAAAGTGTAACCTTTTAGTTATCCCTACCCAAAACAAGAGGTGCTTTTAACAGCACCCCAGCTCAGCAGGCCCTAAACTCTTTGGCCTTCTTGTCCTATATTGATTCAGAAGTGCATCTTAGCCTCTTGGCTGCTTGCTCTAATTTGCAAATGACCTCAGGGCAAAAGCAGCCCCCAGTGTTGGGCTCAAGCTTTCTGCTATTCCTGTTTTTTCCTATGTTGGCCCAGAAACTCCTTCCTACTCACTAGAGCTCTTAGAATTTTTTATGATGTTTTAACGTTTCATCCAGCATTTGTCCTCAGTGGGAGGGTGGGTCTAAATTACCTAGTTTGCCATTTTCAGAAACTGAAATCCTACCAGAGTTTTCTTAGCTCTCTTTCTCTTCACTAAATAAAACATCACCTCCCTAGAGCCTCCATTGACTATAATATTTAAAATAACTTCCCTATCATTATCTCTTTACCTGCTTTATTTTATCTTTACTCTACTTAACACTATCTGACATCTATTTATTAACATGTCCCACTAAATGTAAACTTCAAGAGGATAGAAAAAATGTGCCTTATTCCCTCTGGGGAATGGGATGAGGAGGAAGGAGAAAATTTTATATTTTACTTTATACTCTTCTATATGACCTAGATATTAAGATTTTAAAATCCAAGAGTCCATGCATAGTCTTTATCACCATCCTGCTCCTTCCTCCTCCCTAATGATATTTTCAGCTGACACTGGCCTTGGCCTTCTTCTGTTCTTATTCTTTATACTCTACTATATATAACTAGATTTACTCTTATAGCTTCATTTCATATAACAACAATACCTAATATTTATTGAACTTATTATATGTCAGGCAGTATGCTAGGAGCTTCACATAGTACATAATCAATCCTAAAACTGGGGCACCTGGGTGGCTCAGTTGGTTAAACGACTGCCTTCAGCTCAGGTCATGATCCCGGAGTCCTGGGATCGAGTCCCACATCAGGCTCCCAGCTCAGCGGGGAGCCTGCTTCTCCCTGTGACCCTCTCCCCTCTCGTGCTGTTTCTCTCTCTCTTGCTCTCTCATAAATAAATAAAATCTTTAAAAAAAAAATAATCAATCCTAAAACAAACAAATCCCAAAAGAACAGCTATAACAACAACAAAACCTTTGCAAGGGGAAATAAATAAATCTATGAAGTATTATTATCTCTGTTTTAAAGCTGATGAAATAAAAGCTTAGGCTGGTTAAGTAAGCTGCATAAAGTCACAGCCAATTAGTGGTGAATCCAGCATTTACACTCTTGTGCCATGCTCTAACCAAAGCCCTATGCTATACTAAATCCATGGGGGGAAATGTTGAGGCTCTAAAATTTAACTCTAAATCTGATCATTTCCAATTTCCAGACCAAAATTTCTATGTAGCTGCTTGCCATTTTCAAGGGACATCCTGCAGGAACCATAAACCTAAGATGTTTAAAGCTAAGCTAATCTTCTTTACCTTCCAAATCTGCCATTTATGATTTGCATCTAATTGACAGTATCATTATTCCATCAGCCATCTATGGAAATGTTTTTAAACAGCTTACTGAGTTTTAAACATATCACATAACATACAATTTACCCATTTAAAGTGCACAAATAGATGGTAGTATATTCAAAAAATTGTGCAACCATCACCACCAACAATTTTAGAACATTTCTGTCCCTCCCCAAAAAATCCCTCTCCGTCCACTTTCTGTCTCTATAGATTTGCCTCTTCTGGATGTAGAAATCTTGACATCAACTTTGGCTATTCCCTTCCCCCAATTTCTCCCTACCCTAACAATGAACTGGTTGCCTCATTATGTTGATTCCTTCGAGGGGTAAGTTTCTCTTTTCCATGCTCATCACACTTTTAACTCAGGCAAGCATTATCTCTTGCCAGGTCACTTACTTATTTACTTAGTGTTTGCTGACTTCTCTCTCCTACCCCACAGTATAATACTGCCTGAGACTCCTAAAACATCCAATGGTTTCCCACTATAAAGAGAATGAAGTTCACACTCCTTAGTGTGGCACACAAGAGCCATGTTCAACTCCAACTACTTTCCCAGCCTCATCTCTCCTGCTTGCACTATTCAGTCCATGCTTATACTAAATTACATGAAAAGCATGTGGCACATGTTTTCAATTTTTTGGAAAAATTCTCAAGCTTGGCTTTCATATTGGATTTTTGTTTTTATACAAATCATACTGGCTTCTAGGCACAGAGTTTATATGCCAAGGCCTTTCTAGAATTGAGACATAAAAATTTATTTTTCAGGGTGCCTGGGTGGCCTAGTCAATTAAGCGTCCAACTCTTGATTTCAGTGCAGGTCATGATCTCACGGTCATGGGATTGAGTCCCACATCAGGCTCTACACTCAGCTCAGAGTCTGCTTGTCCATCTCCCTCTGCTCCTCCCCCCACTCACTGTCTCTCTAAAATAAATAAATAAAATCTTTAAAAAATTCATTTTTCAAGACAATGAATTTGAAGATTTTGATGGACTCTATCATCAAAAGGATATGGAAACCGAAGAAATCCTATTCAGCTGGTTGGAAAAGACCTTTGGGCAGGGACACAGAGCAGCGGCTGGAGTCAGTGTCAGCGATCCGGAGAAGCCCGGGCCAGCCATGTCACCGGGGATGCAGAGCACCACTGGAGGTCCGAGGACAGGGCGGATTCGGCCGCAGAGTAATTCAGCTGTACCAAATCGTGGTCTCCTGTCAAAAAACAGGTAAGACAAACTTAGCTTTTTGTGCTTCTTAAGAAATTATTTTTTTTCCTTTTTTTTTTTTTTTTTAAAGTAGGCTCCACAATAGGGCGCCCGGCTGGCTCACCCAGATCAAGAGTGTGCAACTCTTGATCTCGGGGTTTTGAGTTTGAGCCCCACACTGGGTGTAGAGATTACTTAAAATAAAATCTTTAAAAATGAATAAGTAAGTAAGTAAGTAAGTAAATAAATAAGTAAGTAAGTAAGTAAGTAAGCAAGTTCCACACCCAACGAAGCTTTTCCTCTCTTTAAACTGATCAGGTCATCCAGGAAGATATGTCCACAAACACTGGCTCAGAGGCTTAAACTTTTTCAGGAAATCTGTGATAATGAGCTATCTGAAAAGACTGTATGACAGCAGAGGACTACTAAAGAAAGATAAGGGGTGGGGGTTTTGTTTCCTGCACATATTAAAGAATAAAAAAAAATCTAATCTGAATTGTAATTCTAAGAGTGAAAAAACAGACTAAAAAGCCATGGGCAATCTCTTCGAGCCTTAAGATCCTGTGACTACCAGTGACGATTCAGGGCACACAAACGGAGTGGAAAACTACTGAATAAAGAATAAATCAACCGGACTTAATAATAAATTAGTTTTTTTCTTGCTATAATGCATGTTCATTTTGGATTCTGTGGTAGGTGGACAGCATAGGAAAGCAAGGCAGAGGGTTCTATTCCATTTATTTACCATCTTCTCCATGGATTTTTTTTTGTAGTCTGAAGAAGGTGGAGGTAGAGAGAGAGATGATTTCTGAACATATGCAAAATGTTGATACACAAAAAATAACATGCAAAAGAATTCCTTTGTATTCATTGTATCTTTCTAGCCAAGAGTTCAAGTAACTATCTAAAGTCATTCCTCCCTTCTCATATGTAAACAAGATTGAAATTAGCAGGGTTTGTTTTGTTTCATTTACAGATGGGAAAGAGAAGGCACATGTCCTTGGGTCAATTAGAATATATTCAAGGAGCCAGAAATAATAAGAGTTTTCAATAAAAATAGCTTCAAAGTTTTACTTCCACTTTTCTGACAGAATCTGATACCTGGCACTAAGAAATGATAAGTGAGGCTACTTTCAATTTCTACCCACATTCATACTCATAACAGGAGATTAAAACATGGAGAGGGACCACAATGCTTTTACCCTTCACCTCACATAATGCTGACAACTTATAACAAGAGCAATTCCATTCGATAGGTTCAAAGTGGGTTCATTCTTTGTCCTGCAAAGCAAAGAAAAAGCCATATGTCAGAGATTCTAAAACCAATCTTTACCTGATATAAATTTTGGCCCATGACTACCACCACCCTCAAAGATTACTAGAATTCAATAACCAATTAACCAAGGGGAAAATGGCAACTTTTAAGATCACCCACTCTAATGAGAGGAAAAGATGTGAAATGTTTAGATGAATCTACTGGCTCATTAAAAGCTAACATAGGAAAAGAAATCTATTCAATCTGAAAAAAAAATTAAAGCTAACATAGAATAAGAAAATGTGGGAGGTCTCAAAACTAGTTTCAGGGTTACTTTGGGTCAAGAAGTCAAACTGTGGGGCAGCTGGGTGGTGTAGTTGGTTGAGTATCCAACTCTTGATTTCAGCTCCTGTCACGATCTCAGGGTCATGAGATTGAGACTTTCCTGGAGCTCTGTGTCAGGCTCTGCGCTCAACATGGAGTCGGCTTGGGTTTCTCTTTCCCTCGGCCCCTCCCTCCCACACACAGGCTCGTGAGCTCTCACTCTCTCTAAAATAAATAAACAAATCTTAAAAAAAATTCAAACTGTGAAGCTACTAGAAACAGGACAATAATGACTGAGAAAAACTATAAAGCCACAGCATAAACTTAAGCCATGGATTTAAGGACTTACCCAAAGACTTCCATGGAAAGGACTCCATTCACCTTTACAGTGAAATTAAATTTAATCTGCAAAGTAAATGCGGTATGAGATTTAACATGAACCAGGACAGAGATTAAAAACTTCCATACTTAATTCCCAAAGGGGAAGATATTCTTTACAACCCCCTTTTTTCACTTGTACTTTCCCTAAACATAATTAACACATTAACATTTATCTGTGCTCAAATTCTGCATCTTAAATATACTAGGTCCTACACTTCAATTCCAAGTGGCCATAGATTATCAGTAAATCCTACCCTTCGTTCTCTGCTCTTCTCCCAATATTATTTCTCCTCCCCCTTAAAGGAACTATCAATTTTTCTCCCTATTCTTTCCATTGTTTTTGTACATAGAACATTCCATGCTTTTTTCTTTGCTTTTTCTTCCCCTGCCCCCATATGACTTTTGTCCTCCCTCCAATTTACTTCACTGTCCTAATTATTTCCTACCTTTGACCTACATTTTTCTTTCTATGTAACATAACGGGTAATAAAGGACTCTAGAGCCTGACTGCCTGAATTCAAACCCTTGCTCTGCAAGTTACTTAACCTCTGTACCATAGTTTCCTCAGCTATAAAATGGGAATGATGATGATAAAACCTACTTCACAAGGGCTGTTGCATGGGGTAAGTGAGTGAGTGTGTGGAAAGCACTCAGAATAGTGACTGGCATAATAAGCAGTGAACCCTGCTGAAGACAGAAAAAGTAGAAAGCTAGCAAGAGAAAAAAAGGAGAAGTTATAAAGCATACTTAATGGTGTGCATTCCTATAAACATACCTAACTATAGCTAATAATAAAAATTATAGCTCTCCAAAGTTTGAAGTACTTTATCAAAATTTCCTGATTTGCTCTTCTAGTCACTTTGGAGAAGAAGGAGATAGTCAGCAAGGTTTATTATCCAGGTTTAATAGAAAAATGAAGCACAGAGGAAGAAAAAAAATGTTATCTAAACTGGGCGCCTGGGTGGCTCAGTCATTTAAGCGTCTGCCTTCGGCTCAAGTCATAATCTCAGGGTCCTGGGATGGAGGTCCACATCAGGTTCCCTGTTCAGCTGGAAGCCTGCTTCTCCCTCTCCCACCCCCCTGCTTGTGTTCCCTCTCTCGCTGTGTCTCTCTCTGTCAAATAAATAAAATCTTAAAAAAAATGTATCTAAACTGATATAATAAAACAGTAAGGAAGTAAAAACAAGAACCCAAAGAAAGCTCTATATCCAAGGGCTCTTAGCTATGTCACATGACCAACATCAACTCTGTGTTAGGGACAAAGAAATCAAATCAATTCAATATTAAAAGTTGTAATCATTATCATGAAAAGAAAGAGGACCAACCATATCCTTTCATGTCCTACAGAGTAGAGGTCTCCTGAAAACATATGACAAGAGAAGCATCACTGTGCAAAAGAACAGCTTACCTTAGGGTGTACCATGACAATTTTATGTAAAAAATTCTTTATCACCAAACTATCTGTCATCAAAGTTCTGGGCTTTTCATCAACCTGTAACAATACAACAAAAACATCCACCACAAATACACAAACACAGGAGCACAAATGAATTAAATTATGGTATTTCTTGAGGCACCTGGGTGGTACAGTCGGTTGAGCATTTGACTCTTGGTTTCAGCTCAGGTCATGATCTCAGGGTGGTGAGATCAAGCCCCATGTCCGGCTCCGCGTGGAGTCTACTTAAGATTCTCTCTCCCTCTCCCTCTGCCCCTCCCTGCCTCTCTAAAATAAATAAATAAAATTTTAAATAAATAAATAATGGTATTTCTTCCTATAAAGGTAACTTACCCCTCAGAAAGCGTTTCAGACTTCCAAGGGGAAACACCTTTGGATCCAAGAATTGGACATAAAAGGCAATCTAATAATTAGCTATCCTTTCTTGGACTAAACTATTTCATGGAACTTCAGGAGACACATGAACAAAGATCAGAGTAAAACCCACAATTCAAAACCACCTTTTGGAACAAATATAGAAGTAATTCAGACTGGAACAAAGAAGAGTAACTCTATCTTAGCTCTACCAACCTGATGTGAGTTGATCTGTATTAAGGATGGAGTGAAAGGAGCAGACACTAAAAGGAACTATTTTTTAACATCAATCCATTTAGCTAATCATTTTTTTTTTTTTTTTAGGAAAAGCTGTAAAGCAAAAAGCTCACAAGTCAGAAGACCTGTGTTCTAGTACTGGCTCTATAAAAGTTACTTAAGTAACCATGAAAAGAAAATCACTTAATTGCTCTGAATTTTGTTTACTAATCTGTAAAACAGCGATAAAAGTTACCCATTCTAGGGGCACCTGGGTAGCGTAGTCAGTTAAGCGTCTGCCTTCAGCTCCGGTCATGATCTCAGGGTCCTGGGATTGAGCCCCATGTTGGGCTTCCTGATCAGCAGGGAGTCTGCTTTTCCCTCTCCCTCTGTGTCTCCCCATCACTTGTGCATTCTCTCTCTCTCTCTAATAAATAAATAAATAAATAATCTTAAAAAGAAAAAGTTACCCATTCCACCTCACAGAACTGTTTTAAGGATCAGGTAATAATCTTTAAGTATATATTATACATGGCAACAACAGTAGATATCACTTGTTGAATGCCTACTACGTAGCAAGCATTGTGCAGGTCTTATATCAACATTACCTCACAACAATCCTGGAGGCAGGTACTACTATCCTTTCTTTGTAGATTGTTTTTTTAAACAAGACTCAGAGAAGTTAAGCAACTTGCCTAAGGTTACCCAGCTGTTCAGTGATAGAGCCAGAATTTGACCCTAAGTCTGTCTAATACCAATTGTCCATACTCTTTCCAATATACCCAGGTACCTCCCTACAAATATAATAAAATTTATAATTTAATGAGGGCTTTCTGTATTCCAGGAATGGAGCTAAAGTATCTTACTTATATTACCTCATTTACCCCTCACAAAAGCCCTATTAGGTACATATAACCCACATTTTATGGATGAAAAAAAAAATGAGTCTCAAAGAGGTCAATTTTCTCAAGGTTACCAAATCTGGCTCCAAAGCTTTAGTATTAACCACTCTCCTATAATGACTCACTATATTTAATAGAGTGTCCCTAAAACCAAAGTTATAAGGAGTCTTTTAGAAAATGGAGAGTCTAGGAAAATGAGAAGAAATAGAGTAAAAAAATCAGTAAGTTCTTATTGGTGGCTCCGAGAATACAGAGCCATGTAGTAGGAACACATTAAAGAAAAAAATGGTCCTAGACCTCAACATATCATAACACAATGAGGAAGAAACAGAAAGAACAAATTACTATAATACTTTTTGTAAGTACACTGAAAATGAGATCAAGAAGTATGCAATGAGTGGGGAAAATTAGATTATTATAGAATCATTACAAAAAATTATCAGAAAAGTAGATGAGAATTGTTAGAAAATTCTGGAAACAGATTTAGGATTATTCATGCATGTATACAGTAGTGATTAAACAGTAACTGCAGCATACATATCAGTCACATCCTTCATTTAAAAAATTTTACTATAGGGTCGCCTGGGTGGCTCAGTCGGTTAAAAGTGTCCGACTCTTCATCTCAGCTCAGGTCTTTTTTTTTTTTTTAAGATTTTATTTATTTTTTTGTCAGAGAGAGAGCACACAAGCAGGGGGGGAAGCAGGCAGAGCAGGTACAGGGAGAAGCAGGCTCTCTGCCAAGCAAGGAGCCTGATGTGGGACTCGATTCCAGGACCTTGGGATCATGACCTGAGCCGAAGGCAGACACTTAACCGACTGAGCCACCCAGGCATCCTTCAGCTCAGGTCTTGATCTCAGGGTCGTGAGTTCAAGCCCTGTGTTGGGCTCCATGCTAGGTGGGGAGCCTACTTTAAAAAAAAAAAAAAAAAACTTTATAATAAAATGTTCAAATAGTAGAAAAGCAATGATCTCTTCAAAGCATTTTCTGTACTTAGCACTTACAAAACAACTTCTTGGAACAGTTTCAAACTTCTGTAGCCTTGGTTATTATAGGGTACATCACAGAAAGGGCTAATTAAATCTAGCAGTAAAGCAACCAAGTGAAAATTCCTTGAGCGGCTACCAGAGAGGGGCTACAATTAATAATGATGAGAGCTACCACTTATTGAACACCTGCTACATGCCAAACAGTTTATATGCAAGTAGGAAATATCCCCCATTTTATTTATGAGAATAATGAGACTAAATAAGCTGTTTAATTTGTCCAAGGTCACACATAGCTAGTTAAGTGGCAGAACTGGGATTCAAACCTAAATCTAACTTCAAAGCCCACGCAATGCTGTCTCTCCAAGGAAGTTTATTATCTGTGCATATAGCTTTCAGAATTGGATATTATGTAATCTATCATCACTTTTATGGAGGCTGACAGGCAATGCTTATGCAAACTACTGAATTACCCACTCAAAACACTTAATGGAGTTTATTATGTAACCTGGGCCTGCAGAGGTAAATAAAACAATCTGAATTTGAAGAGTTCACAGTTAAGTAGAAGAGAAAGACAAATAAATAATGTATATGACAATGTGAAAAGTCCTATGATTTACATATATTAAGAAATGCTAAAGAAACACACAAGAACGACTGGTACCTAATCCAGACTGAGAAGATAAAGTGACCGAATACCATGTCAGCAGAGGATAGTTAACATAAAGCAAATAGCTCCTTTTAAAATCTATTCATAAATTACTGAAAGAGAACGAAAATGTATGTGTCTATGTCTACAAAGTCTTTTAAAGCCTTTTAGAGTTGGGTGTTAGAAACCCAGTACCCCAGCCTGACATACATATAGAAGCAGTGAATTTACTTCAGTGTTGTTAGGAAAACATAGATGCTGCCAGCCCTGGGCAGCAGAAACCATTACTGAATCATATGTTCCAGCTTTCACCTTAGAATACAAATCTAATTATATCACAGATAATATCAGAGCTGTTTTTTTTTTTTAAGATTTTATTTATTTATTTGACAGAGAGAGAGCGAGAGCAGGAACACAAGCAGGGGGAGTGGGAGAGGGAGAAGCGGGCTCTCTGCTGAGCAGGGAACCCGATGTGGCTCAGTCCCAGGACCCTGGGATCATGACCTGAGCCGAAGACAGATGCTTAACGACTGAGCCACCCAGGCGCCCATATCAGAGCTGTTTTCTATTTTCAAATTGAACTTAGGTTGTCATGGGCCCTATATGACTGTCCAGAAGAAAGTCAATCTGTGCCTCTGTCTCTTCCTGTCTCTAGTTAAATAGGTATACAGAGAAATAGAGATAAATATGAAGATATGTTTGTAGAAATACATGTACCTCCACCAATTTTATCACTTACTATTATGACAAAAATAAATATAAAAATGGATAAAGCTTTCAAGATCTTGTAAAATCAAATTGTTTTTGGAGGGACGTGTTACCCAGCCGATTGGACCCCAAGATGCAGGACTGACTCTGAGCATAAACACAAGACCTTGGATCTCTCCTAAATGAAGTTCTCTTCAGTATTCCCTGGGATAGGCTCTCCTTACATGCCCAAAGCAGTGGATCATTTATTATGGCTTTTTCATGGATGTCTCCATTCACTAGCTTCCACTATGAACCTTGCTACTTGACTCTTCTCCCCATTTGAGGTATATATGATGAACTTGTTCACAATCTCCCCCTTCACTTCTCACTCTCTTCATTCAAATATCTTTTAAATAGCTGCACAGTACCAGAGACAATGAGATGTAATGGAACAAGCACTTTCAGGGAACTCTTGTTCCTGTTCCTTTAAGGTCATACTGCTTTTTGCCACTTCTCATCTATTGCTCAGCAGGCAATGAGCTCACGTTTCCTCAGCACTTTAAGACCCACCATCAACTGGGCTACTTCCACATCCAAGTTGATGGCCTAAGGAACAACTTAGTCTCACAATTTCCTGACCTCTTCAACTCCACTGACCTTGACATCCATGCATTTCCAGCCACCTATTTCCATGGCCATAGTTTGGAACTGTACCATTCTAAAAACCTGAAACTGAAATGCCTCACTCTTATGTGAAAAGACGCACACCAAGATGTTAACAGTGGCTACCACAATTAAGTCAAATTATCTGGGGCGCCTGGGTGGCTCAGTCGTTGAGTGTCTGCTTTTGGCTTGGGTCATGATCCCAGGGTCCTGGGATCAAGCCCCGCATCAGGCTCCCTGCTCAGTGGGAAGCATGCTTCTCCCTCTCCCACTCCCCCTGCTTGTGTTCCCTCTCTCGCTGTCTCTCTCTCTGTCAAATAAATAAATAAAATCTTTTTAAAAAAAAATCAAATTATCTGTGTTCTAAATGCTCTCTTTGATTTTCCTGAGGGAAACAGGAGCTTTTTCAATAAGGAGAAAAATAAGACAAACTCTGTAAGTCTGAAGACAACTTCCTATTCTTTCAAGTCTTTGAACCCCTTATATCCAGAAAATCTGTTTTCAGTCTCATCAAGACCTCCAGACCTTGGACACTTCCCATTGTGTTAGGTACCCTTCCTCTATGTTATATACCCTACCTCTATCATGATACATATTACACTGTATTGTAATTATTTGTATGCTTATCTTTTATCAAGTAATGTGTCTTGGGACTCTGTACCTTCAACATCTAGCACAGTGCGGCCGACTTGAACAAACACAGGTTCCTGAATGAGTGAATAAATATTTAAACAGACCTGATTAAAATGAGTAAGACTTTAGTTCAAATTCTAATTCTGTCACTTAACTTTCATATGACCTTGGATAAGTCAATCGAACTCTCTGAATCTCAGGGTTCTTATATCTGTAAAATGGGGTGATAATCCCTGTTCTATCCACTTCATAGAGTTGTCAGGAGCCTTAAATAATATATATAAATGTTAGTCATAAAAATTATTCTTTGTTTAAACTGGCTAAAACACATGATCTCCTTTTCTAGAACTGCTTTCCTTGGTTCACTGAAATCAGCCTTTTTTTTTTAAGTGCTACTTGAAATTAATAGTTTCAAAGCTGACTAACCATTAATTGCTCCAGATATTTTTACCCATCATTTCCCTAAAGAAGATAAGGCACAGCCAGGGATATCTATTGTCGCAGTACTGCACCCATTTCCTTTGACAAGGAGCATATAATTGTCCAAACACAAAGAAAGGCCTCCCAAATGCTTCTTGGGAGAATGTTTAAAGTACTCTAGTTCTGGGGCTCCTGAGTGGCTCAGTCAGTTAAGCAACTGCCTTTGGCTCAGGTCATGATCTCCGGGTCCTAGGCTCAAGCCCCTCATTGGGCTCCCTGTTCAGCGGGGAGTCAGCCTCTCCCTCTCCCTCTGCCCAAACCCCAGCCCCCTGCCCCGTGCTCTCTGTCAAATCTCTCTCTCTTTTTTAAGATTTTATTTATTTATTTCACAGAGAAGAGAGAGCACAAGCAGGGGGAGCAGCAGAGGGAGAAGGAGAAGCAGGCTTTCTACTGAGCAGGGAGCCTGATGCGGGGCTTGATCCCAGGACCCTGGGATCATGACCTGAGCTGAAGGCAGACGCTTAACCGGCTGAGCCACCCAGGTGCCCCTAAATAAAGTCTTAAAAAAATAAAATATTCTAATTCTTTATGTCTCCACAGACTCAAAGGAAAGAAAGATAGGGGATCAGAGAATTGTTAAAGGGAATGGAGAACTTAACTGTCACTCTCATAAATCTGAGCTACAGATAAATCAATAAAGATCTTTAAACCAACCTAATAAAAATGTATCCAAATAGGATCTGCACTGAGAATCCATTTTTATTTTCTTTTTCAGGAGATCCAAATTCAAATAATGGCTTGTTTCAGTGGTTCTCAAATTTATCTGCATATTAGGAATCATCTGGGATTTTTTTTCCATCTGGGATTTCAAAAATATTCCAAAGCCCAGGCCACATCAGTATGGACTGAACTGTGTCTCCCAAAATTCACACATTGAAGCCCTTGCCCCCTATGTGACTGTACTTGGAGAGAGAGCCTTAAAGACATATTAAATGAGGTCATAAACGTGGAGCCCTAATCTGATAGGACAGGTGTCCTTATAAGAAGAGAAAGATACCACAGAGCTCTCTCTCCACATACAGAGGAAAGGCCATGTGAGGGAACAATGACAAGCCACTTTAATCTTAAACTTCTAGCCTCCAAAATTACGAGGAAAGAAGTTTCTACTGTTTAACCACCCAATCCATGTTTTTGTTTTTTGTTTTTTAATGACAACCTCAGCAAACTAATCCAGCACCCTAGACCAATTAAATCACAACCTCTTGGAGTGGGACACAAATACCAGTATTTTGGAAGTTACCAAGTGTTTTAACATCTGCACAGAGAAGTTCGGGAACCAATGCCTTATTTCATTTCAACTTGGAACTGTGATGGACCTAGGCTTTACTGATTTGTAGAAAAATAAGATTAAAAATTAAGACATCAGCAATTTACAGAACCACAATAAAACCTGCCTCAAAAATCATCTGGAATGGTGTTACCCCTGATATGTCCTGAGAACAGCTGGCTTCCTCTGAAGTCCAATTCAGTTTTGCAGAGAATCCGGGCAGTACAGATTGTATTTCTGTGTAGGAAGAAATGGCGACAAAAAGAAAAAGCAGTTTGGATAATCACCAGAATTTCTGGAATTGTTTATTAAACTGATGAGCCAAGAAAGCATTTCCCTGATGAAAAGATTATGTGCAAAATTTAAAATATGACTGGAAGTGGCTATGCATCAGCAAATTGCTTGAACATTTAGAATTACTTTATGTGGTTAAGACATTTGATCTCGTGTTTTCAATTTTTCACATTTGCTAAATCAATTTGTATGTTCAGTTAATTTCCACAAGGTCATGTCCAAAGCCAGAAATCTTCAAAGCTGATAGCTCTAGCTTATATTCTTGTATTTTTTAATAAATTACCTCATTATTTAATAAACACAAATCCAGTAAGTGAGCTAATTTAGAACTGAAAGCAGAAAAATTCAAGAATGACCCTCTCAAGCATTTACCTAATACAGTATGTCTGCTAACAACATACTGTATTTATGGCAGACTTTAACAAAGTAAAGGCAGTCTTTAACAAAGTAAAGCAAATTCTTGCTAATTTAATTCATAAGTTAACCATTTGGTGTATTTACATACGTGGACTTAGAACTATCTTTCCACAAAGCACCAACAGGTCCTGAATCATCAAAATTGGCATCATGTTCCTTTCTGTACCTTGGCACTCATAAAGGAAAAAAAAACAAATCTCCCATTCTATAAAATGTTATCTCTTATTTCCCCCCTAAAGTACTATTATAATAAAGAATTACAGATGAATAAAGAGAGCTTCCAGTCTCTGCAAGCTCTACCTTGTAAATGAGGTTGACAATTCTGATATTATATAAGAATTCAACTTTAAAAACCTAACAAAATACATCCTAATAGCACAACTTTCTCCTATAGCATTCATACTACATATCTAATAAAGCTTTAACCATCTCAAAAAGTATGGACATTAACAAGATCAAGTACTAGCTATCAATCTTAATGGGTAGTATTTTTCTTGCCATTATTTATTTTTCAAATATAATTCAGTCATAAAGCATGGGATAATATAGCAGCAAGGTTATGCTACACTGAAGTTGAGTGAACTTGGCACTGAACCAAGATGCCTTGCATCAGTCTTCAGTTTTACCACTTACCAACTTTCTGACCTTAGGTGACCCCCTTTTTACTGTGATTAAATTACCTGTGAAATAAGAAAAAACTTGTTCCTGAATCCTACCTTGTCTTTGAAGTATTGATACAGTGAAGTATGGGGAAAACATGTAGATATGTGAGAAGAAGTCTTTTTTTTTTTTTTAAGATTTTATTTATTTATTTGACACAGAGAGAGGAAGAGCAGGAACACAAGCAGAGGGAGAGGGAGAGGGAGAAGCAGGCTCCCCGCGGAGCAGGGAGCCCGATGCGGGGCTCGATCCCCGGACCCTGGGATCATGACCTGAGCCGAAGGCAGACGCTTAACGACTGAGCCACCCAGGCGCCCCATGTGAGAAAAAGTCTTGTCAATAACTAAATTCTCCAGAAATCTTAACAACAATTTAAATGTGTGGTGATTTGAGGGAAATCAATTTCAATTGCCTCTCTTCATACACACATACACACAAATCAAAATCCAGATGGATTGACTAGAGTTAAATGTGAAAGGCAGAACAATAAAACTAAATAAAAGCCTATTTCAAGATAAGTTGAGCATATGTTGAAACTGCATCTTCCCATTCAAACACATAAAAGGATAAAACAGATATTTTTAAGTATTTAATTTAGAGTCTAGTTAGTTAACATACAGTGTAATATTAGTTTCAGGTGTACAATATAGTGATTCAACATCCATACATCATCCGGTGCCCATCACAACAAGTGCGGTCCTTAATCCCCATCACCTTTAAAATTATTAATAAATACATAGTCATGGTAAGAAAAACAGAGAAATCTTTATAGACCAGAAGTGGAGAGGTATATTTCCCTCATCTTCAGAAAGGAAAAAGAAAGAGAATCTACAGTGGTAGGAAAGGACCAAAGATGCACACCATTTTTGGGGCTTGGACTAGGGAAAAAAACATGGGGCTAATATTGGAACAGCCACAGATTTAAGAGCAAGATCCACACAGGCCACACATAGGAGATCTAAACAAAGAACCAAAACATGAACAAAGGCCAGAGATTTTTCACCTGCCTACCAGAGAGTTGGTTAAAGCCAAGTGATGCTAGTAGCATCAATGATGCAAGTTGAGGGCCTTAACAGCTATGTCATACAAATGGAAAAAGACTCAGAACTATATAATCTATTAAAATGCAAGAACTTTGCATCTTGCCACTCAAGCAAAATTTAATCTAATATATATATACATATAGATAGATAGATAGATAATATATATTATATATAATACTGCAAGATTAGAGCTCACGTAACAGAGAACCTCCTACTGGAAGCCTGTCAATGCAGGATGTGTTCAAAACAAATAAATAATGGACAATTAACTCTTAACTAAAAGTTACCAACCAACAAAGATCAATACCATGAAAGATGTGACACTGATACTAATAAAACTTGTACATGAGGAGGGACGCCTGGGTGGCTCAGTCGGTTAAGCATCTGCCTTCGGCTCAGGTCATGATCCCAAGGTCCTGGGATCGAGTCCCGCATCAGGCTCCCTGCTCGGCCGGGCACTTGCTTCTCCCTCTGCCTGCTCTGCCTGCCCCTTCCCCTGTTGGTGTGTGCTCTCTCTGACAAATAAATAAAATCTTTAAAAAAACCCAACTTATACATGAGGAAACAGAATTAACAAAACAATCTGAAAAGGAAACTATCAACAAACCAAAAGGCAACATATTCTAACTAGAATTTAAATTAAAAAAATTTAAAAATTAAAAAAAAATTAAATTAGGGGCGCCTGGGTGGCTCAGATGGTTAAGCATCTGCCTTCGGCTCAGGTCATGATCTCAGGATCCTGGGATCGAGCCCTGCATCAGGCTCCCTGCTTGGCAGGAAGCCTGCTTCTCCCTCTCCCTCTACTGTTCCCCTGCTTGTATTCTCTCACTCTGTCAAATAAATAAATAAAACCTTTAAAAAATTAAATTAAAAAGGCAACCTACTGAATGAAAGGAGACATTTATAAATGATATGCCTGATAGTGGGTTGATATCCAAAATAAATAAAGAACACCAAAAAACCCACAAATAATTCAATTAAAAATGGGCAGAAGACCTGAATAGACATTTTTCCAAAAAAGACATACAGATAGCCAACAGACACATGAAAAGATGTTCAACATCACTCATCATCAAGGAAATGCAAATCAAAACCACAATAAAATATCACCTTACACCTGTCAGAATGGCTCAAATGAAAAATAAGAAATAATGTGGCAGGAATATGGACAAAAAGGAACTCTCATGCACTGTTTGTGGGAAAGTAAATTGGTTGGTATATCCACTGTTGAAAACAATATGGTGTTTCCTCAACAAATTAAAAATAGAACTACCATATGATCCAATAATTCCACTACTGGGTATTTACACAAAGAAAAGGAAAAAACTAAATAAAAAAAAATATGCACCCCTATGTTTACTGCAGCATTATTTACAATGGCCAAGATACAGAAGCAACCCAAATGTCCACTGATAGATGAATGAATAAAGATGTGGTACACACACACACACACACACACACACACACACACACAGTGGAATATTACACAGCCATAAAAATCACATCCATTTGTGACAACAAATAACTTAGACTGAGAAAGACAAATACCATATAAATTTCACTCATAACTGGAATCTAAAAAAACAAATGAACAAACAGAATCATAAATAACAGAGAACAAATGATGGTTGCTAGAGGGGAAGCGAGATGGGCAAAATGGGTGATGGGGAATAAGAGTTACAGGCTACTGGTTATAGAATGAATAGGTTATGGAAATAAAAGGTACAGCATAGGGAATATAGTCAATGATGCTGTAATAGTGTTGTATGGTGACAGATGGTAGCTACACTTGTGCTGAGCATAGCATAACATATACAGATGCTGAGTCACTATGCTGTATACCTGAAACTAATGTAACACTGTGTGTCAACCATACTCAAAAAAGTTTTTTGAAAAAGAATATACTGCCAGCAATGAAACAGAAAGTTTAAGGGGGGAAAACCCTGGTAGAAATTTTAGAAATTAAAGATACAGTATTTGAAATGAAAATGTTATGGAAGGCAGATTAGTGACTGGAAAAGAATACATTTAAAAGAAGGTAGTACTTCAATCTTTCATAGCAGCATGATTCATAGTAGGCAACAGTGGAAACAACCTAAGTGTCCATCAAAAATAAACAGATTAACAAAATATGCAATATTGTTCAGCCATAAAAATAAATTAAGTACTGTTACATGCTACAACATGGATGAATCTGAAAAACATTATGCTTAATGAAAGAATTCATTAGACAAGGGGCGCCTGGGTGGCTCAGTTGGTTAAGCGTCTGCCTTCGGCTCAGGTCATGATCCCATGGTCCTGGGACTGAGCCCTGCATCAGGCTCCCTGCTCAGACAGGAGCCTGCTTCTCCTTCTCCCTCTGCCATTCCCCCTGCTTGTACTCTCTGGCTCTCTCTATCTCTCTGTCAAATAAATAAATAAAATAGAAAGAAACAAAGAAAGAAACAAAGACAGACAGACAAAAGTCTACATATTGTATTATTTCATTTATAGGAAATGTCCAAAATAGGCAAATCCATAAAGACATTAAGGATAGATTTTAAAAGGACATAAAACACTAAAAAATTTAAATTAAAAAATAGGTCCAGAATAAATAACAACTGAGAATTATAACAAAGACCGATGTGGGCACCTGGGTGGCTCAGATGCTTAAGCGTCTGCCTTCGGCTCAGGTCACGATCCCAGGGTTCTGGGATCGAGGCCTGCATCGGGCTCCCTGCTGGGCGGGGAGCCTGCTTCTCCCTCTGCCTCTGCCTCTCTCCCTCTCTCTCTGACTCTCATGAATTAAAAAAAAAAAAAAAATTAACAAAGACCGATGTAAGT